TTACTTTCATTGTAATTGTTACTTACCATTTTTATTTTTGATTTATGATTACATTGATGGTAATGGTTACTAACGGGACATGTTAGAAATAATCGTAATTTGTGTTTTGTTTTTATCGTGCTATTATCGCACAGATGCTGCTGAGCTTCTGCTACTTCGCTTCAGTGCTAGGAGCGACCTTGACCCCCACCATCTCCAGGGCTCTGAACCATCTGCAGACGGCGCGTTCTGCGGAGCTGAGACCCCGGGACGAGGTCGGCGCCAACAACAACAACTGTCTCCCTTACCATGTCGGCTGCTGCTGTCAGACGGTCCAGGAGAACATCCAGCTCCGCGCGAGCTACCACGCTCACCGTAGACGGTCCGCCCCTGACTTCACTGGGAAAGGCAAACAACTCGGGTATCGGCCCATCGACGACAATGTGTTCGTGGAGAATGAGCAGGACGCTTCCAGCCACTGCTAGACAAGATGTCTCCCCGGAGTTCTGACTCGGCCGTTATCAAGAAAATTCTCTTCCAATATTGTCTACCTCATTAGTCTTTGTGTTTCGTTGTTTTTGTTTGATTGTCTCACTGACGGGTCCCCAAAAAATGTGAGGCCGTAAAATAAATTGTCATTTAAATGAGTTTTGCTAAAGATACATTTTAGGCTATGTCCCTATTCAATGGAATTTCATAATTATGAAATTCCGATGATGGTGTCTTTTAATATAATAAATAGACACGATCCTCAAGGACAGCTTGCCAGGGAATTAATTAATGTTTTATTGATCGATGAAAGAAACAGAAGTGGTTTGGGCTTTTTAATTGTATTTCCTACGTCTAAAGTCGCATTAAATGTTCATACTTAACTAGTGCGTAGTGCGGAAGACAGAGACGAATGGAGGAGGATAGTTCACATGTCATCTGTGGCTCCCCAACGGTCCAAGGACTAAGGGACATGATGATGATGATAAACTAAAGAGAGATCCGTTTTAATATAAAATTATGTTTGCTACTTGGTCAAATTAAAGATATCTAGTTTCGTTATTCATAATTTTTTAACAGCGAAATTCTTACAGGTCAAATAAAAATATGGATTTGAGAATATGAAAAGAGCGGCTTTGTATTATTTTAATATAAAATAGTTTCAAAATAACACAGTTAAAACCGAACAATCTATATATATATATATATGTTTAATTGACCCGAGTACCAACTAGTTATATATATATAGATGCTAGTGAAGTTAAAAAAATGATACATTAGTGCAATGTTCCCTCTAAGGTTTATTGGTTCGTGTGCAAAATCATACAGTTGTGCGCAAAGTTTTTAAGCATCAATTTTTTGTCTGTGCAAAATTTTACAGCCCACAAACACAAACACTCACATATATGGAAATTTACTGTGCGGATACTCAAAACTGCTTCGCGGCGTCTGTAAGATAGCTGCGCGGCCACGTAGCTGCGCAGCTTAAAGGGAACATTGCATTGGAGAAGAATGTAACTGAGCTCGCGTGATCTTGATGTTTTTTTTCTTTGTAACGTCATAGTTATCTGGTAAGCACATACTAAATTACTACAAAATAAATGTTACACACAAGGAATCTCATGTTAATCTAACGGAGCAGGTACTGAGCCATTGGATTCAACTTCGTTTCTGGCACACACCTGGAGAAGCCGTCTGACAATTAAACCGTAATAAATGGAATTTTATAAAGAATAACAACAGACGCTATTCAAATTAACAAAGAGTTACAAAACGTAACATCTAGTTATCAAAGCCTTTTCCTCCCCCCCCCCCCCCCCCCCCCNCCCCCGTTAACTATTTCATAGAGTCCTGCGTGCTTCAAAGCGTGGTGAGATTATTACAATAATCAAGCGTTTAACATTCGGCCTGGCCCTGACATGTAATAGATTTTTTTTACTCATGTCCTATCTTCTAGAAAAATAACAATAACTGATCATGTGCTAAGTAATAAACATATAAAGAAATACATTAAACACTAAATAACTATTAAAAACATAGTTATTTTATTTTGGCGTTTTTGTATTTATTTTTAGTGCATGTTAGTTATCAATAAAAATTGATATTAATACGGTGAATTTATATTTTTGCTGTACTTTCAAACGATTACATTTGATTTAATCCATTCCATCTCGACTCCAATAACAAAACAAAACATTTTTTTTTAAAAATCTGGTCTGATCTAAAAACTAGTATTTATTAGATTGCACATAGAGCAGTGTAACCATTAAAATTTGATTACTTTCTCCTTAAACGGTTGTTTCAACATCAATTGAGGGGAGTCACGTGGCATGCAGAGCTCCATTGATCCCGTTATTGCATTCATCAGTTTTGCAACAAGTTGATTTAAAACACAAACAATAACAATAAAAAGCCAGAGTGTGCGCCAGGCAAAAAAAAAAAAGGGACGAAACTGTTGAAATAACGTAAGATACTTTGTCAGCATCTTTTCTTTCCCCTGTAGGTTCTTCAACACCATCCACGTCACGTGACGAGTCCGCGTCCAAAGCATCATCTCTCCTTAGTCGCGCCCTCGTCACGACCGTATTCCCTGCCGAATAAAGCCGCAGGCAGAAGATCACTAGTTTAAAAGATGGGGACTGGTCTCAAGACAGACTCATCTTTGAATCTCCACGGTCCTGGTTCGGCGATAGGAAATGATCCCCTGTGGGTCGGAGACGGAGAAAGGTATCATCTGTGGGTAGACCACGGAAGGCCCTAGCTGGTGCATTCGACAACAAAGTTTAAATGGACATTTCCGTTACCCTTAATTTCCTTATATTCGAAACGTGCCATTTCAGTGTTTTGATAAATCATGAATGCGCCCGTTCGTAAAGTTGACTCTGCAAAGATGATAAGGATTCGAGATGTTAAAATATGTTTTTTTTTAAAAAATGCTCTCAGAGTCGTTATTTTTAGTAACAACGTTTGGTCATTTTAACGGAAATATCCGCAATTACTCTATTTATAGATGTGAATTTATCTGAGCACAAAAGAACTGCAGCATGCATGACACAAGTAAGTCACTGTCGTATGTGGTTCATTAAACAAACCATAAAAAACAAAGTTTTTAGCATAAATCTTTTATATGCATTTTTGTGTCCAAGCATGTATGTACTTGTACGTGATTCATCATTTTTGGCATTGTAGCAACTGATTTTTTTTTTCTTTGGTATGGAATGGTTTTGACCAAACTTGGTCCATGTAAAAACCGAATAGACTAAAGATATATTTAAACCCAAATACTTTAAGGAATACAAAGCACATAGCAGTAGCTGCACAGTTAATCACCACACTAAAACACGCACCCATCGAACAAAAAAACATATTATGTCATTCATCTTTCTCCTGAACTATGGGTTGAAGGGGGGAAGTGGATCATTTAGCCGTCCAAAAATGTTGCCAGACACACACGAACAAAAGCAAACAAATACCCGAAAGACATTAATTCGAATATCCTTGTCAATGACTAGTGAAGCGAATCAACCCTTGGAGGGCACAATGACGAGTTATGTCACGACGGGAGCAGTTCAGGAAGTTGTTCAGCCGAGTGACTGACATAATTTACGTATACTGGGCGGCCAGGTACATATTCGACCGGTAGCCTAGCTATCTTTTTTTTCTTCATTGACCTGTTAGCCCGTGTGGGCCATGACCTGAAGGAAATCACGTATGAATAGAGGAAGGTCATTTGTTATGAATGTGTAGCTAATTCTAAGGCATGTCAGACGTTTCCCTTTCCTGTATGGAACTAATGATGAGAGGTAGGGAAAGAGAGAGAGAGAGAGAGAGAGAGGAGATAGAGGGGAAGGAAGAGAGAGGCAGGGAGACAGAGATAGATGGATAGATTGAGAGAGAGATCGAGAGAGAGAGAGAAAGAGAGAGAGCGAGAAATAAAGAGAGAAGAAGAGAGAGCAATGGAGAGAAAAATGTGGATTTAGAGAAAGATAGAGAGAGAGACATTGAAGGAGAGAGATGGAAGGAGATATATAAAGAGACAGGGAGATAGTGAGAGAGGTGAGATAGAGAGAGCCTTTAGAAAGACATGTGCATTGTTATAATTTGCAGCTGCATCTCTTAAAATTTCTCAGCATATTTTGTTCTACTTTCTGGAAGGTGTTGTGTTGTGTTGTTGTTTTTTTTTTTTTTTTTTTTTGTTTTTTTGTTTTTTTTTTTTTTTTTTTTTTTTTTTGGGTTTTTTCA